CTGAAGTCACGTCTGTGGAACTCCACCTAGCCAACCAGATTCCTGACGAGACTGCAGAGGTCTCGGAGAGGATGAAAAACAATACGATACACGCGGAGAGTGGAACTGTGAGTGACTTGGCGTATTCCCAGAACACTGAAAGTTTAACCTGCAAGAACAACATGGTAGCATTCAAATTACATTCGTAAAAAGATTTCAAGCTACAGTGCAAGCCGTTAGGAAGTTACCCAAGCTACCACAAGGACAGCAATGAGCTATGTGTACAACACACGTGCAGAGAAATGTTGTCCGAGACGATTGGAATAGAACCTTGATATCTTTCCTCACCCGTTCTCGTTTGACAAATATTTATTTGAAGTGATTCCAACGTTCACATAACAGTGCTTGTTTCACAGCAGTACTTATTTGTGCGAACCATTTATTTGAAAATGTGTTCCGCGTACATGTTCATTTTCATGCAATTCAAACTCATTTTCATATGAAAGTTTTTGCACGGACTCGTTTTGAAAAAGAGGCACAAGGTAACTCGGAAATGGCCCATTGCCCGGAATTGTTTCGCACAGATCCTGGATTATATTGTAACGCAAATGAGAAAAGTTAACCGTGAAAAGGGTTAAATTAGCAGTCTTAGGGAGAAACGGGTTTACACCAACACTTCACATATTTTATATAAACACCTCTCTAGTTACCCATAGTACTTTTTAAGATCAGCTTACTTCTTGAAGATATATAGTAAAGGTCGGCACACACGACGCGACTAGTCCGTACAACTAGTCCCCTGAAGAGTTTACACGAAGGGACTGGTCGCAGGGACTTGTCCCACGAACAGTTCACACGAAACGTTTTGATGAACAAGTCGCAGGGACTTGTCCCAAAAATTCAAACCAGTTTGAATTCGTGGGACTAGTCGCAGGGACCAAATTTTGGTCCCTGCGACTAGATTTTGTGGCAAAAATGGCTAGTTCACACGATGAGACTTGTCCCCGTGACTTGCTGCAGGGACTAGTCACAGGGACTAGCCCATTTGTGTGTTTGACCTTTGACCTTAATACCGTGGAATCCCGTTAATCCGGTCACCAACGGGCCACAAAAATCTGGCCGTACTAATGGTTGGTCGTATTAAAGGGGCTCTTTTAAATAAGAAAATGACTGACTGAGCTTTTGTTCGGGCCAGAATAAAGTAGCCGTTATATCGAGGACGCCGTATTAACGCGGTGGCCGTAAGGCGGGGCTCCACCGTACCTTTCCAGTTTTGGATCTCTCTTCTTCAATCATCTTGTCCCCTTCCTGATCTGGTCTTGTAAACTGACAATCCAGGTCAGCGGTATCAACAGTTATAACCGATATACTGTCAGCTCGTTTTCTAAGAGGTATATCAAGATGGCTGTCCAACCGCTCCACGCTTTGGCGTCCATTCCAGCGTCCATCGACATCCTCGATATCTGGCATGATCGCCTCTGGTGCAGGATCCTCGGCTATTTACGAATATAAAATAAAAGCAGGAGCTTAATATCAAGTTTGGGGCGCCAAACTTCCATTCTACCAAAAAATCACGGAACTTTCGAAACAGGCGTAAATGGTGCGGAATATCCCTCGTTACTAAGGGAACGTTCCCTTCCAAATGACCAACCAGTAGCGTCCTCGTCTGTGGGAGGTGAACAAGAGTGTAGGGGAAGACTGTCCACCAGGGTGTTGTGGGTTCAGGGGCCGCTACCATGGCGCTACGTAAACTGTGAGAACCCTGAACGAGCTACATGTCAATCCGTCTCCACAAACACAATACGAGTGTGGCAAGGGGCTACAAGGACTGATCAATGTGATCTTTTCTAAGAGGACTTGACCCGTTTTACCGTCAATTTTGTACAACTATATCTCTTGCGGTAATATTCTGAAATACGCTACTTTTTTTTCTTTGCGGTAACACCAACTCACCATATGTAAGCTTTGTTTGCTCCTCTGTTGCGTATGTTTTCAGAAACTCAGCGAATGCGCCCCTGTTCTTAACCAGCTCTGTATAAGTACCAACCTGAAATTAATCGGAAAGTCGACATTAAAAACGGTTACACACGTGCGTGAAAATAAGGCAACACATAAAAATTTTCTTGCAGCGTCGCAGCAATGACAGTCGTTGCAAAAAGAGGAACTAGATTTTACTCTCTACAGCACTTGCCACAATAAGAACGTTTTGACACATGCTGATTTTGG